TAACAGAATAGGAAATACATATGGAAATTCTGAAATTCAGTTGGCTGCTTTGGGTGGTATCAAAAAGGTCTTGGTAGAGAACTCCAGATGACTTCAGTATTGTTGAGCCAGTGTATACATCTGGATTGTTGAGTGTCTTGTGGATGCTACTGCAAAATGGCTACAGCAGGAAATGGCTAACACATTCACAAAATGACTGCCATGATGATGGGCATGGCCACTCACAAAACCAGAATTTTCCATATGGATTAAATACAGAGATTTAATGAAACTAACGTCTTTCCCATTTATAAGAGCTCCATCATTTTTATTCCTCCCCTATCTTTGGCCTATTAAAGCTAAACTAGCTGAAATTGGATTGTTAAACTAAGCACGATGCAGCAGATGAATCTTTACTATAGATAGTAATAGTCTAGAATAGAGATAATCTACCTTATTAGATCAGAAGCACATTCAGAACTCTGAGATGAGATAATGGGCATACTCACAAAATAGCTGCCATGGGAGAATTGTCTATTTGCAAAATAGCAGCCATGGTGGGCATGATCAGTCATAAAACACTCATTTATCAAGAGGAAAACACAATCTCCCTACCCTTATGGAGACTTTAGGGGCTCCAAAATAATTGCTGCAAATAAGTATTAGGCTAAAAATACTATGTTAAAAATGGATTTTTCACTTAAACCATGCCAGCTTCCTGTCATATTTTTTAAAGTTTAAAAATGTCAGGTGGAGTAGGGAGCATGCTGAGCATCAAGAAAGATTCCTGGGGACACATTGGTGCTTATGGTCACCAAGTTGTCTCCCTCAGTGTAGAATATTTCCTATGTGAACAGAAGGTGTACTTTTCTTGGATACTACAAATATAAATAGATAGTTTGGACACTTGCAGATTTAGAATATAAGTCCCTTTTCACAGAACCTGGCTGGTAAATGGGCATTGTTTCCTCTAAGTATGTTACCTTGATCAGCACAAAGAGCAGAATATTCTTCCCTCAGCAAAGAACTGAAAATACATGGGATGCTGCTTGTTTGGAATGAGATTGAAGGTGGTGACCTTCAATCTCAATTCTCAATACAAAAGTTTATAAAACAGCTGCAGAAACAACAAAAGTCTATATTTTGTGAAAGCTTTTGGGCTACCCTTCATTTATAAGCAGAAGACTGCCCTCTTTGAAAAGTCAGTGTAATGGGAATAAGTTCTGACTACCAGCAATATGCCTGCCAAGGCAAAAACACAGTTCCAAATGTTTAGGTCAAAAACTATGGATTGGGGATGTCACTGCTGTCTTAATTCAGTCACACATTTTTCAGTCACATACCTTTTCCAAAAGTACATGGAAAATAAGGTGACAGAATGTTATAACTGTCTTCTTTTAGGAAGTGGTTGGATGAGTTACTACTTTATTAAAAACTGCTGTGGGGATAACCAGTCATACAAACCCTGGGAGGCTTTGTATATTTTCCATCTGCAACTGAAATGGGCTGGATAATTCTACAAGTCATCATCCTTGGAGAACATCAGTAAACTACCATACTGTTGATGCAAAACTGATGCCTAGAGTCCACTGTCCATTACACTGGGTCTGAAAAGTTATAATATTATGCAAATCCCTTGTAGATTACATCTTTATTACTGGATTTTTTCTTCTATTGTTTTTAATGCATTAACTTTTCTTACATGCTGCTCAGCCAGTCTGGAATGGAGTGGCATAGAGATCTTAGTAATAATAAATAAATAAAGCTTATTTGTTTTTCAGATCCCCTGAAGTGGCTGCATATGGTCCTGATGCTTATGTAAAAGATATTTCACTAAAAAGAAAGTCTCTGAACATCTCTGGCCATTAGCAGGGAAAAAGATATGCATCAAGCTGAACCTCAAGGAAAGTACTGAAAAATTTATTCCAAGCACATATTTCATGTGATTATTAAATTTAAGCCTACAAGAGACTTAAACTGAAACCTACAGAGGAAGGAGTACGGCTAAAACTTGAACATATCCAATCTTATCTATCCTTCCAATGATATTATGAGTTAGGGTTAAAGTTAGGGTTCACTCTTTTCCCCTAATTTACAAAAGGAGAAGTGAAACTAAAACACAGTGATTTACAATCCCAATGGAAGCAATAACAGGAAGACAGGAAAATCCCAATAAAGAAATAAGAATTTCACCCTGGGTTTAATCTATTTCTTTGTTGTAAAGAGAGTAGTGTATTTTCCAAGAATTACTGACCCCAACCCTCAACCATTTTATTGTGATCCCACATATAAATGGATGCTGTAGAAATCTTTGGGACAAAACCTGCTTTTTGAATGAAATGTTCCCTCTGGTATCAATGCTACTTTTATTCTCAGTGGGTGACAGTTATGGTGAGATTCACTGATTTAAGTAAGTGAAGGTCCTAGAGTATCAGATCCACAAAAATTATGGCTTTTTCAGCCCACAGGCATCATCTCCTTTTGATTGGTGTCTTAAGCTTCTGTGTAGACAGTTCTGCATGCAGTCAAAAAAATAACACACTGATTTTCACCAAAGAAAATACAATTCGTAAGTGCATGTGTCCTGATAGTATTAATAACAATGACTGTGATTATAGCCTGGCAAATCTAATTTGTAACTGTAAGTCTGTTTTCCCCTATACAATAGACAAAACCTACTACAATAATTTGGTAATTTGGTTCACTGAAACATATATGTTGAGATTCCTGTTAAATGTTACATCTGTGCTTAATCTAAAACTCTCCCTCTGTGGCACTATTCCTTTGTCAACAAAATATTTGACTATTTGGGGATTACGAAGATTACAGATAAGAAGTGAGAATAATGGCCAATTACAACAGCAGAGTTTAACAATCTCTACCAGCTGTGACAACGGAACCCAAGACAAGTTGCAGATGTCATACAAAGACAGAAACGTGATTACTCATGTTGTTGTTTTAGACACATCTCTTTTCAGTGGCAGCGGCCCATTGAAATCATACAGTGTAGAAAATATTTCCAACATTTCAGACCAGTTTCCACATTTGGACAAATTTTTCACCTCAAGTAACAAAAGTTGTATCATAACATTCATTTATTAACACCCAAATCTTGGCCATTTCTATAAAGTAGAAATTACAAGTTGGGCCATCATGAGATAGTATTGTAGAAGCTGAGTTTCTGTTGCTCTTCATATTACAAAAAAAAAGAAAACAGGGAGATGAATTAACTTTAGTCCTAATAGTTCCTGTTCAGTGTAAACTATAGAACATTTTAGTTCAACTCACCCCAAAAATCCAGCTTTTAATTCTAATAAACATTTATTGTTGTTCAAGTCATGTTATTATTAAAAATGTAAGCAAATTTATTCCATGGAGGCATATGGAGGATAGTATTTCAACTTATCTGAGAAATGTGTCTTGTGGGTTGCACACAGCCTTCTTGATACTTTATGTGTGTGCCTTCGAGTCAGTGTTTACTCCTGGTGACTGCGCTGGACAAGTCCCTGCAGTTTTCTTGGCAAGATTTCAGAAGTGGCTTGCCATTGCCTGCATCCTAGAACTGAGAAAGAGTGAGTGGCCCAAAGTCACCCAGCTGGCTTTGTGCCTAAGGTGGGACTAGAACTCATAGTCTCCCAGTTTCTAGCCTGGTACTTTTAACCACTACACCAAACTGGCTCTCTGTTCTTGATACTAGCCAGAAAATAAATTCTTCCATTAAGCAGTTTCCACATTGTGTCTGAGCCATATAACAGTGGTTATATAACTCCAAAATAAGCCAGGCCATTATTCCACAATCTGAAATTGGTTTATATTGTGCTTGTTCCAAGGCTATTAATATTTGTAAGTTTGAGCAGATAAGAGACAATAGTTAGTGAAAGTTATCCATGTTTGTTTGCCAGCTCATAAAAACAAGATTGGTATGCAGCCCAAAAACTTCTTTATGTGAAGCTAGCTTTCTAAATGCCAGATTTGCCCAAGTTCAATTTACCACACATTTACAAAATCAATACATTTCATAGTAATTCGTAGCAAGTATTCTTAGTTGTGGAAAAAGTATTCTAGTCCTGGAAAACACCTTTGATATATCAAGCAAGAATTAAGAAAAAAACATCCCAAGATAAGTATACTGATCTTATAAATCTTTTAAAATAAGAATAATACCACTAAACATGATTTTTTAAAAAGTTTGGATTTCTAGATTTTCAGCAGGTTTCATTTTACATTTTATAATGTAAATATAAAAATGTTGCTGTTTTATAAAACAGAAAAATCTTCCAGAATCTTTTTATTCCTATTACACATACATGGCCACAGATGTTTATTACAATTTATTTTTTAAGAAACATAATTCTAAACTTGTAAAAATTCTTGAGGACATGCTTGAAAAAAAAATGCATAAATCTGCTTTTGCATAATGTATTGCTTTGGCTTGTAAGTAAAATGTTTGTAGTAAAAATTAGACTTATTTAAATTGGAATTGACTAATAGCTTCTAAAATAATCTGGTTAAAATCCAGTGTTGTCTAAGTGGACTTCTAATTGTACAATGAACCCTCATACTCCTACTACAATCCCACTCACACTTCCAATCAAACTCCCATTTCTTTGATGAAATCCACTGTCAGAGAAGATACAGTGCTAACTGAAATACAATCCATTAAGAACTACTAAAAATGTATTTTAATTTATGGGGGTAAATAAAACGTATTTTAATGTATATGGGATTAAACCATATTTAATTCCACATACAGTATTCAAATAATCTGTTACAGATGCAATATTTGCAAGTATCCTATCACAATATGCTCCCTATTCCTGTATCTATGTATCAACCCCACTTTTCAGTCAAGCACATTAAAAATCTTTCTAACCAATATGTAGATCAACAATGGGCAGCCTCGGTTACATATAGCAACCCAACACCCCACTAACAGCCTCTAGCCCCTCTAAGATCATAAAAGTATACATATTCAATGTCATAGAATATATTGGAATAATAATTGGAATAATTAAGGTAATGCTGATAAGTTTGCTTAACTAATGCATTCAGATAAAAGCAATAGCCAGTACAAACCCAGAGGTTAGGAGACATCCAAATAGGAGGAATCATGTGGCAGTGTGATCATAATTACTGAAATTTTAGAAAGGCATAATTAAATCCCATAGTAAGGGGAAAAAAAACCTAGAGATTTTGTACCTTATGTGCATAACTTATATTTGAATTCCCAGAAAAATGTCAAGAACTACTGGTATAGAAGCTAAGTGGTTAGGTCTTATTGCATTACATTCAAACATTGTAGTTTTACAGATGGAGGTACAGAGATAACTATCCTATTTTAAAAGTAAGAATAAAATTTAAATTATGATTTAGACATTTCATGATCTGGGCATCAAAAATTAGATTTCATACTACTAAATTCTTCAAACAAAAATAATGTAAACAAATAAAAGTGAGCAATGTTATTAGAAAAATTCCAAAATCCATTATTAGAACAAATACCTGCTGGCTTCCCCATTGACTTTCCTTGTCGGAAGCTGGCAGGGAAGGTTGGAAATTGGGATCACAAGATCACAGGGACACTGCGCTGGCTGTAAGTACGAGGACCTATCACTTGTTCAGCACCATCATAAGTTTGAACAGTTGCTGAATGAGTGGTCCACCTGCATTTACCAGAGCTATTAAAGTATCAGAAAAGTGCACAAGTTTTCAGAATGTCCAGATCTCATCACCAAGTGAGATGCCATCAAAAATACTAATGCTGGCTTTATCTTCAACATCTTCAGCCTCCTGCTTCCCTTGTCCTCCTTTGTCTTGTCATATAAAAGTCTGACAAAGAAATCTTAAGATTCTGGAAACTTGCAATTATGTAATCTTTTGAATCATATTTTCATGAAACAGATTTTAAAAGAAATTATTTCTTGCCTGAGAAGTAATGTTACTTCTCAGTGCTAAACACTAAAGGAGAACCATTCCATATTCTATCAAAGCTTTAAAGACAGGATGCTTTAAACCCACTTCATGTAATATACACTTATATTATTTATAAGCATAGATTAAAATGCAATGTTTGTGTAAAACATGCACACATGAATTTTATTTCCATGCCTAAGACAAATATGTGCACCAGGCAGCCATATTTGACAGGGCTATTAACTATGTGCAAGAGTTTATTAACGTGTTACATGAAATAATTGTTTGAGGACTTAAAAAAAATTGATCTTACTGCTTTTAATTTGTTCAGTAAACTATCTAGCTGAACATATCTAAGAAAATATTTTAAAAACAACAAAGCTAAAAATCAAGGTCCCTTTCAACTATATGATTCTAAGATACTTTTCTTTTCATTCCAGTAATCAAGTAATATTCTTTGAGATATTACTATTATTGTTTGCAATCCTAAACTCAGTAAAAAGTGGATGATTAAATTTCCAATTATTCCCACTAAGTTTTCTCCCTTTTATTATGTTAATCTTGATACATTATATTGTTTTGATACAATGATATTTGTACAGTATTAATTAAAATTACTGACATTCTGTTGTTTAGATAACTTAGAGTATTGGAAATAAAGAAATATCCTATCAATATTAATTACAATTTAGGATATTGATATTACAAGCATAAAATTATTTGACTTTTTCATACAAAATTGAGTATAATATTAGAAAAAACTGCTGCAGATTACATGAAAGCATTTGTTGTACAATGAAGGTTTCAGTCTTGAGCTGATTACTTAGTACTGAAATCTCCACTGTATAATTCCTATGGAGGTGTGTGTGTGTGTATACCATGTTAATAAAAGGGAAAAAATACAGTAGATAAGCAATATAAATTTAACAAGAATTAAAATACTGAAAAAGAATTTTTAAAAAAGAAAAGGAAACAAAAAAAAAAGGACTATTGGGTTTCTAACTTCCCCCCTTTTGTATATCTGTTAATTTAGAATATTGTAGACATTTAAGCTCCCTTAGAAGCCATACTGTAAGTGATTATATTTGCCATCTGGGTGATGTATTGTATGTATAGGAACCATTCTTGCTTAAATTTGGTTAAACTTCTATTGTGTATATATACTGTTAATTTTGCCTTTGCTGCATATTCTCCAAGTTTACGTTCCCAATCAGATATTGTCAGTATTGTATCTTTCTTCCAATGTTGAGTAAAATTTATTCTTGCTGCTGTAAGCATGTATCTCATTAAATTATAATGTTTCTTGTTGATTTCTTCTGAGATTATACCTAGTAAGAAAAGTTGTGGTTTCATTTCAAGTTTAAATTCCAAAATTTTCTGTATTGTACTATGTATATCTTTCCAATCCTTTGGGGATTTTTACATGTCCATCACATGTGATAAAATGTTCCTTTTGTTTCACGGCATTTCCAGCATTTGTTACTGTATGATTTGTCTATCTTAGATACTGATGGAGTTGTATATCATTTGTGGAACATTTTGTACCAATTTTCCTTTAAGTTATAATTTGTGTAAATTTTATAGATTTAATCCATAATTCTTCCCTTTCTTGGTTTGTAACTGTTTCTTTAAAAATTTGCATTCATTTTATCACAATTTCATATATTAGGTTTTCTTTTTTTATATAATATTTTTATTAAAGTTTACAATTACAAAGATAGAAACCTAATACAAACTAAGAAAAATATAAAAAATAAAAAGTGCAAAGAAAAAATAAAATTTAAAAAATTTGAAAAGAAAAAATAGTAAAGAAGAAAAGAAAAAAGATACATAAAGAAATGATTTCCCCCTTCATCACAGCAAGTACAAGCAATTTCAATAACTTATCACCTCTGATACCACAACAAAAGACCGTATATTAAGTTCTCAATTGCCATTTTTAAAATATTTTTAATAATATCCATCACTTAGTGATTTATCTTGGGTTGTTTGTGAGATTTATCTACATTAAATGAAATTGGTCTCAGTTAGACAAAGATTTTATTTATGTTGCGTAAAATACAAAAATATTTCCAAAGGCAACTTCTAACTGATATATGGTCTTGGAAGTTAGGCATTTTACAGTTTCAAAAACTTTTGTATGATTGCTAGATCTCTTATTTCACGCTATTCCATGAACAAGAAATAGCAGA